ACTCTGGACTGGGCTGAAGACAGAACCAACCAGGACATCCACTTCCTGTTTCCATTCACCTTCAGACAGCTGAACGTGCTGAAAGAGACAAAGTTCAGCTTGGTGGAACTTCTTCATCACTTCTTCTCTGAAACCAAAGAAATGTGCAGCTTTGAAGACTTCCAGCTGCTCTTCATCTTTGATGGTCTMGATGAGAGTCGACTTCCTCTGGCCTTCCACAGGAACCAGGTCCTGACTGATGTCACAGAGTCCACCTCAGTGGATGTTCTGCTGACAAACCTCATCAGGGGGGACCTGCTTCCCTCTGCTCGCCTCTGGATAACCACTCGTCCTGCAGCAGCCAATCAGATCCCTGCTGACTGTGTCCACATGGTGACAGAGGTCAGAGGCTTCACTGACCCACAGAAGGWGGAGTACTTCAGGAAGAAGTTCAGCGATGAGGAGAAGGCCAGCAGGATCATCTCCCACATCGAGACCTCACGAAGCCTACACATCATGTGCCACATCCCAGTCTTCTGCTGGATCACTGCTACAGTTCTGGACCATGTGTTGAAGAGCAGAGAGGGAGGAGAGCTGCCCAACACCCTGACTGAGATGTACATCAACTTCCTGCTGGTTCACACCAAATACAAGAAGGTCAAGTATGATGGAGGAGCTGAGACTGATCCAGACTGGAGTCCAGAGACCAGGGAGATGATCGAGTCTCTGGGAAAACTGGCTTTTGATCAGCTGCAGAAAGGAAACTTGATCTTCTATAAATCAGACCTGACAGAGTGTGGCATCGATATGACAGCAGCCTCAGTGTACTCAGGAGTGTTCACCCAGATCTTTAAAGAGGAGAGTGGACTGAACCAGAACCAGGTGTTCTGCTTCGTCCATCTGAGTGTTCAGGAGTTTCTGGCTGCTCTTCATGTTCACCTGACCTTCATCAAACATGGACTCAACCTGATGGGAGATGATCAAATCAAATACAAGATGTTGAAACTTTTTAAGAAGATAACACTAAAGCATGTTCATCAGAGTGCTATAGACAAGGCCTTAAAGAGTCCAAATGGACACCTGGACTTGTTCCTCCGGTTCCTCCTGGGTCTTTCTCTGCAAACCAATCAGACTCTCCTACAAGACCTGCTGACACAGACAGGAAGTAGCTCACAGACCAATCAGGAAACAGTCAGGTACATCAAGATGAAGATCAGTGAGAATCAGTCTGCAGAGAAAAGCATCAATCTGTTCCACTGTCTGAATGAACTGAATGATGCTTCTCTAGTGGAGGACATCCAACAGTCTCTGAGGTCAGGACGTCTCTCCACAGATAAACTGTCTCCTTCTCATTGGTCAGCTCTGGCCTTCATCCTAATGTCATCAGAAAAAGTTCTGGATCATTTTGACCCAAAGGAATATTCTACTGATGAWAAGGCTATTGAGAGGCTGCTGCCAGTGGTCAAAGTCACCAAAAAAGCTGAGTAAGTACAAAAACATTAAACGTTTCTCAATAAGTCCGATTTAAAGGGGACCTATTATGTAAAATTCACTTTTTAAAGGTTTTTTTACTCAACTTTGGGTATGCACTTCTTAAAAAACAGTCCTAGGACCAAAAAATGCACCCAGGGGCATATTTACTGTAAGTAAATGTATTTTTAATGTGTATTAACGACAAGTTTTATACTTCCATCATTTTGTGATGTCACAAGCCGTACGACAACCCACCAGAACCTGCATTCAGCCCCTTACCTAGC